ACATTTTACTGTTTTTGCTGTACTTTGGATCAAATAAATGCAGGCTTGGTGAGCAGAAGAGAATTCTTTAAAAAAACAAAAAATCTTAGTGTTCAAAAACTTTTGACTGCTATAGTATATATATATATATATAAAAAGTGGTGGTGGCCCGCCTGGACCAAAAAATGCCAGGGCCAATTTTTTGTCCCAGTCCAGCCCTGCTCATGTGTGAGAAACAGATACCATAGAAGAACTGGGTTTGTGTGAAAAGTACCAAGACAGACACTCGTCTAGAAATATGTTTGTTTTAAAAACATGGGTATCCCTTTTGTAGTAGGGTCAACCAGTGTTCAAAATTAGCATCTCTGAAGCTATCGTTAGTGACTAAGTATAATACAATGAAATATTAATATCATCTCATATTATTTGTACATAGTTATTTGTAATTAGCTTCTGCGTTTGTTCTGTCTGGTTCTCAAAACCCCGTGTGGGAAAAATGGGTTTCTCGCACTTCTTTTCAGTGCTACAACATTTGTATTCGAGATCAAACAACATTCTTTCACAGAGGTTTTTTTTTTTTGACTATGGATCTCAAAAAACAAAAAAAACAAATTTGCTATGGATGATTGAGAACACGAGTCTTAAATTTCGTAACTTCAATACATTTCAAAAAAAGGTTTTCTATTTTATCCAATTTTGATGGGAAAAAAAAAAAAAAAAGTAATATTATTTTCAGGGGTTGCCAGGCGAAGGAGCACGAAGGAGGCAAATATCAAATAAACAGTCTTTTAATAAATCCACTTGGGAAAAACCAGGAGAAAACCTCTTTACATGACGGAGATAGGACAAACAAACTGAGGAAAAGCAGGGCTATTTATACTAAACCAAACGATGGACTAAGGGGTTGGCTGCCCTTGAGGCTGGTGCAGGACAGGAACAGGGCGGAGACAAGGAGAGCCTCCAGGGCGGAGCAGGCAGTTCAGGTTGCCATGGCAGAGCTAGTAGCTCAGGGGGCCACGGCGGAGCAGGCAGTTCAGGTTGCCCCCCCAAATTATCTTGGGGAAAACTAGGAATTCCAGGGGTCGCTCTGGAGGAGCGGAGTTCGCCAACACAGGAGGCTCAGGAGACGAAAGAGGGCTGGACGGGACCAGCGGAGGCTCAGGAGACGAAGGAGGGCTGGATGGGACCAGCGGAGGCGAAGGAGACTCAGGAGCCAAAGGAGAGCTTTCTGGAGCAGACTCAGGTGACAGGATAGGAGCCGAGAACTCTGGCGGAAGCGCCAAATCCAGGAGCGCTGGTGCCTCATTTTCTGGGCTGAGGGCTGGAATGGATCTTGGACGGGATCCGGAAGGCACGGGAGGAACGAAGGGAGCGGACTCATTGGAGCGGTATGTGGAGGGTGCTGGTTTATGGTGAGCCGGAGCGCCCACATGCTTCCGGATGGGATCTGGACAATTATCTTCCAAGTCAACAAATAAATCGGAGTCAAATCGAGGACGTAATTTAGAAAGTCTGTTACGGATCTATAACAATCGCCAGGAGACAGAAATCGGAACAAATTATCGTCAAGTCCCTGCCGGAAGCAAGCATTAAGCATATGATCGCTCCAGCTCACCAGATGATAAACACTCAGGAACTCCTCCACATACCGTTCCAATGGCCTTCCCTCCTGCTGGATGTTCAGAAGTAAATCCTCAGCCCAGTCCATCCTTTTAGAGTCCTGTCTTTTGTCAAGGGGCTACCAGGCGAAGGAGTACGAAGGAGGCAAATATCAAATAAACAGAGTCTTTTACTAAAGCCACTTGGGAAAAACCAAGAGAAAACAACCTCTTTACATGACGGAGACAGGACAAACAGACTGAGGAAAGGCAGGGCTATTTACACTGAACCAAACGATGGACTAATAAGATAATTAATGCAACACAGGTGGAAACTAATGAATGCGGATTAACTAAATGAGAACAGGAACTGAACCAAATAAGGGCAGACAGGAACTAAACAGAAACAAACACGCGACAATTATATTATATTATATTATAAAAGTCATTCCTGATATACCTGATAATATACCGGTAATATAATCATTCCTGATATAATATAATATAATAATAATAAATATAACTTTTTTATTAATTTATTAATTTATGTGATTAATCTGATTAATTTATTATTTCAGTAATTTATATTATTTTTCAAGTGTTTTCAAGTGTCTTCGAGTGTTTATTTTTTGGCAAATTGCATGAAAAAGAATGGGGTTCAGTTTGACCCCTAAAACATCCTAAATGAGAACAAAATTATCATCACAAAAATTCAAGAAGAAATAAAGAGTTTACCCAGTGTTCCAAGTAGTTTGAATATCGAATGAGTGTCAAATTGACCCCAACACAATGGAGGGTCCTAACGTGTCTTGAATAATTGCCCAGAATAATTATATTGTGTGTATTCTACTGTATTTCTATTCAGCTGTGTACACTCACCTGGTATGGCTGTGGAGGGTCCCAGTGAGTCCAGTCATAGGTGACAGAATCTAGTGTTTTTGTGACATGTTTGGCCCATGGAGAGATCCGAAACAGACATTCGCCTGTTTTAGTCAGGACCACAAGCTACAGACAGAAACGACAAATGTGACATCTTGAAATTTTCATGGTAAAGTTTTTGATGCAAAACAGAAACATACAGTATATACATATACATAAAATATATATATTTTTATTACACAGCCGTTCAAAGGTTTGGGATCAGTGCAATTTTTTTTTTTTTGGAAAGAAATTAAACTGTCATTCAGCAATCATTATATTGATCAAAAGTGACATTTATAATGTCGCAAAATATTTCTATTTCAAATAAATGCTGTTCTTTTTAACTTTCTATTAATCAAAGAATCCTTAAAAAATGTATGGTTTTCGCAAAATATTAAGCAGCTCAACTTTTTTTTCAGCACTGAAACTAAGAAGAAATGTTTCTTGAGCAGCAAATTAGCATATTAGAATATCTTTAGGAAAATTCATCAAAATATTTAACTGTTTTTAATGTATTTTTGATTAAATAAACACAGCCTTGGCGAGAAGAGACTTTCTTAAAAAACAATGTTTCAGACCCCAAACTTCTGAATGGTAGTGTGTGTTTATACGCACACACACACACACACACACACACACACACACACATATATATATATACATACATTTTAAAAGCTTGAATGCTGTATATTATGCAAAATATATTTTCCAGGCAATTCCATTGGGGTTCCTGTGTGCTGCTAGTTGTTGTCATGGTTTAAAAGCACCATTTATTAAAAAGGAAATATTGAGAGCTTTTCATCTAGATTCTAAAAACAGCTCTTTGTCATAGCCATGCCACATTTGATTAATATTATTACAAAATCCCTTCCCCCTCCAATGGTCTTTTCCCAACCCACCTATCTTCATAAGCTTACCTGATTCAGTAAACACACACACACACACGCACACACACACACACACACACACACACACACACACACACACACACAAACACACACACACACAAACACCAGGTGGACAGAGGGGAGGAGAAGAGCAGAAAAAACAAAGCACTTTAAGAAGGTCCATCATTGCTTTCAATCTCTCAGGGGGCAGCTTGGCGATTGTCACAGATCGATAGCCGCTCTGGAGAGACATTGGGGTGGGACAAAACATCCTTAAACTGCTCTGCTTGGCTTTGCACAGACTATTACCAAGCTAAGAACATACCATCGCTTTACTGACAGCAGAAATAACACTGTGAATTTGAGAAAGAATGACAGAGAAAGAGAGCGAGAGAGAGATGACTTGGAGAGTGACTCTTAGAGTGTGACTGTGAAAAGCTAGAGGAACAGAGTTCACAGTAGAGTTCTGGAAGAAATTTTTTTTTAATTCATTAATATCTAGGCAAAGAGACTTCTAGTACATTCCCAGAAAAGAAGGTACAAAAGCTGTCACTGGGATGATACCCTTTTTAAAAGCTACACTTTTGTACCTTATTTAAACCTATTAGTACCTTAAAGGTACATATTAGTACCTAAATTAGACTAAATTAAATTAAATTAAATTAAACTATTTTCTGAGATGCACCAACATTATAAATTGTGTAACATTAAAATGTTATGGATATTAAAATTCTATAGTTAAATAAATTCTAAAGTTAAATAAATAATTAAAAACTACAAACTAAAGTCATTTTAAATTTTGAATTTAGGCATCACATTAAGTAAGCATTTAAAAATTGCACAAGTAATCTAAAATGTCAAAATAGGGGAAATTAACATGCACAATTAAACATAATATCTGCACACACACACACACACACACACACACACACATATATATATATATATATAGTGGATTGTATAGCAACTTTATATAAAGAAAAAAAAATCATATTTACTTCAGTACACTGCCCAGAGTGAAACAATATCTACCAGTGACAAAAGTGAACCGAACCATGCGCATTCATTTTTTTCCATGAGTACACACTCTGCTGAAAAGAAAAGAGTAGTGAACTGGTCTTCCAGCTTGGCTAAAAACAGCTAAAACAGCTTGGTCAAGCTGGAAGACCAGCTAGACCTGAGTAAACCATTTTCGGTAGGCAAGACGACAAGCAAAACCAGATGAAACCAGAAGGCTGATTTATGTAAATATATATATATTTTTTTGTTTCAAACCAAGTTCTATAATCGAATTGAGCCAGTTTATTCTGTAGCAAATAGTTTTCTAAAATGCATATAGAAAAATATATTACTGTTGAGTGAATGAGTTTGTGTTGGTGCTACATAATTACAGAAGCTGCATCTGGCAGGTACATTTCTCAGCCGTATAGAGCGACCCAGACAGGACCATTTATGGATTAGCATGAGTTTAATTTAGAGTGAACGGACAATCTCGTCTGCATTTAGCACAAGAGTAAAGTTCACCTAGGCACTTTTCATCTTCAAAGTGACATCAGACCTTTAATTATATTTCATTCCTATCAAAGAGTCCTCCCTCTGATCTGTCATAACACTGAGTCCAGCCTCAAATCTCACATGACAATCAATAAGAAAAGGACTTGAAGTGTTAATAGGGCTCCTGAGTAAACATCTGGAAATTTCTGTGTGTAGACGGAGAGATATGGAGGGTTTAAGTTGCTTAGGCTCACTTCATACACACACACACACACACACACACACACACACACACACACACAGACGCTATATCTCTTCCCACACACTGTCAGCAAGAAGAAACCCCTAGAAAACTCTCCTTTCTCCTCACTTCCTTCAGACTCCAGTTAACAGTGCTTTGATTTCCCTCGAGACGACGACTATACCCCTGAACCAGCTGTCTGGAGTCACTGAGGTATCTCTCAACAAACAGAAGCACAACAAAAAGAATGTACCCACATAGAGAATTAAACATGGCCTTGCAGGAGAGCTTTCTTGGAGATCTCTGAGCCACCCGGGAATCTGTATTGATCACCTTCGGCTGCTAAAAGTTTTTGAGCATCTAGTGTTTCTGGTGTTTTTAAAATGCAATATCACTACACACTACAGGGTACTGAAATATTCATGCCTGAATAAATTAGGTTCGGGCTTGTTGGTCCCAGCGATTAAAAAAAAA